TGCTGGAATCATGATTTAATAGTGGTTCAACCTTTTCATACAGCTAAAATCCGCCGAAAATTCAGACTCCTATAGTAGGTTTTTCTGATCGAACAGTATGAACTGTATGATTTCACAACCGCTTGAAAGTGGTAAATAAATGTTGTGTATGTATAGAGAAAATTGAAATAGGTTGTTGTTGAAGGCTGAAAGGGGCAATCAGAAGAACTTGGGGGTTAGAACTAAATTATTTTAAGTTAAACGGTCAAAACTGGACGACAACCACATGGCAGGGCGGTGTGATGCAACATGAACGGAGGGGATTGGTTCCGTCCAGCGCATGAGGCGCACCTCCAAGCATCACAATTGCGGGGTTAGTGGGTGGCCTGACAGTCTGGCTCTTTATTACTTTTGGATCAAATTTACAACGAGAAATTTTACAATACTATATAGTATTGGTGCTATAGGTTTTTCCTTTTTGGTACAACTTAAAATTGTACATTTACGTGACGATACAATTTCAAATTCTAGCTATACTTTTTGTACAAACACTGCCATTTGAGTGATAGTTTTGGGTTTTGGTTATTTTGGAACTGTATTGCAGATGGTCTAAGTGACAGGATTTGTGAACGGTTTAGCCCGATTAAGCAAAATCTCAAACTTCTTGCTAATTCACATGATTGTACACAACAATCATGGGACCGCTTGTGTTTGATGTGTTGGTCAATTTCGCCATTTTATATGTGTGATTGATTTTGTAAAGTACATGTAAATTAAAATGAGCGAAGATAAACATTATACATTTTGATCCCATAGAGAAATAAAACAATATAAGATGTGAAATAATTTTATACTCACCAGTTGGTTAGATGAGCTTTGTTTTATCATTGTTAATTATATGTAAATTAGTGAAATCGAACCAGATTATAAATTTTCATTCTTTAGATAAATACCGTTTATTGCATGAAAACTAATATTATCCTCAATCGGTTGGGTAGGTAAGTTATTTTATGATTGATACTAATTAGAATATTTGTGACACTCGAAATCTTTTATGTATAGTTTAAAAGTATACTTACAAATTGTGGTATTAGTGGTAATTAGTTTAAATTTAGTTAAAGTCTGAGTATTGTGTGTCTTTTACCTTGGTGTTAGGAACAGGTAGAAACTTATTGAGAAACTTATAAATCACAATTACTTACACTATGTTTGGTAACAAGGAGGTATAAATTCGAGGTTGGTGCAAGTTGAGGGACAAATTGCAGGAGGTAAAAATTGATGGAGGGTGTAAGTGGAGGGATAAATTGTTGTTTGGATTATAAAGTAGAATGATGCAAATATAGTAAAAAAGTAAGGAAACTATATTATTATTATTATTATTATTATAAAATAGATGTATTAAATTTATAAAATATTATCATAAAATAATAAATAAAAACTACTATATATAATAATCATAAATATTGACAAATATAATTTAACAAAAATAATTATTTAGACAATAATGCTTAAATAGTAATTTATTGTAATAATCATTGATCGAGCAATCTCTAAACTTGAAGCTCAACCTATGTCCAAGACATATTACTAGCTCATGTCTCCCACTCGAGCGTTGGTCTTTCAATATGGTGATCACAATATGACTAGACGAACGTTAACAAACTTGCTCCCGAAGTCAAACGGTGAACCCGAACTAGGTAGGGGTGTGCAACATTTCAGTTTGGTTTGGTTCAAACTGATACAAACTCTTGAGAACTGCGATCCAATAACAATACACATCTGAGGACCAAGAATTGGATCATCATTGCATTCGGTCGTATTTGGTCCGGCCCAAATGTGAAATCGATCTATTTTTCTTCAATATTTACATGACATTTATTCTGTATACGTTTAACGCAAATTTGAGTCAACCAAATTGACCTAAGTCAACCAAACATTTGACCAACTTGCGATCCACAGACAAATTCTACATTAATCATTAATATAATAATTATGATTTATGATTCAATAGTAATAATAAACTTTCTTACTATCTTAATTATAACAATCATCATTTACATATCTATTATTCACATTATAATTATCTAAATATAATAATAAACATTATAATAATTTTAATATCAATTTTATATAGCTCACCTATGTCTCTTTGTTTCTCTCTATTCTTGCACCCCAAATTGGAGGAATAAGGCAAATAGTGATTTAACCCCTCATTTGTTCCCCCCTAACACTAGGGGTGGCAGTTTGGTTTTTGGTTAGCGGCTAACCGAAAACCGACGGAAAACAAGAACGGTCGGTGTTCGGAGAGGGAGCGATTGGCTACGTTTAGCCAGGTAACCAGAGGCGGTTAACCGCGGTTACCAACTAACCGTAGCTAACCGACATCCACCCTTAAAAAGTAAAACCCAATTTTCCCAGGCCGCAACCCCAGAAACCCTATTCCCCAACCACATTAGATAGTCGCCGCCTCCTTCACCCTTCCATTCTGACTCCCCCTTTCCCCAATCTGATTCTAGAAAAACCTAATTTCAAAAAAAAAAAAAAAACCTTCCCTTCCATTCTCCCCGCGCCGTGCCTCTCCTCTTCAGATCTCTCCGCGACGCTCCTCTTCTGAGACCAGATCGTCGGCCGTTGCTCGTCCTCCTTCGCCGCCACGCTCCTCCCGCCTCGAATTCCGTCATCTCCGCCTTCACCGCCTCCGCTCTTCCACCAGTCACCACCATCGTCGCCTCCGCCCGTGATTCTTCCATCTCCAGCCGAAGCAGCTCGCCTCCGACCTTGCTCTTCCCGCCGACCGCTGTCGCTCCTCCTCCTTCACTAAGGTAGAGAGAGGAGGGAAGAAGAAGAGATTTGGGGTAGCAATCTTGCAGAGGCAGAGAGAGGGAAAAAAGAGAGGAGAGAAGAAAACGTGTGATCTTCCTCCTCTTTCTTTTTTATTTTTATTTTTTATTGTTTGGTAAGAAAGGAGAGAAGAAAACATGGGTGGGGTTGTTTTTTTTTCTTTTTTTTTAATATACGTGGGGTGGGTCGGTTACTCGCGGTTATAACCGAACCAAAATCGAAAACCGATCGATCGGCTACCCGTGGCTTCCCTCGCGGTCAGTGGTCGGCAGTCATAGGGGACGGGTTGGTTTAACCGATAACCGAGAAATCGATTTTCGGTTAAACCAAAACCGACTGACACCCCTACCTAACACTATTGCAAATTAACCAAATGGGACGGGTAAATGCATCTAGGGGTAAAGCACTGTTTCGGTGCGGGTGTACATTGTCCCTTTGGTGCCGTGTTGGAATAGAAACTTATTAATAGACGAGATTTTACGAAAAAAGTGCTTTTCACATTCCTAAGATAAAAGCAATATTTCTTTTCTCATAAAAGTTTGGGTAGAGTCGGATCTAAATGTTGGCTAGGCAAGCGTCCTGTAGTAAGAGGAGTAGTTATGAACCCTGTAGACCATCCCCATGGGGGTGGTGAAGGGAGGGCCCCAATTGGTAGAAAAAAACCCGCAACCCCTTGGGGTTATCCTGCAAGGGGTTTATTACCCTTGACTGAGATTTGACGAAATTGAATGAAGACATTAACACTATGTACCTTGGTTTATTACCCTTGACTGAGATTTGACGAAATTGAATGAAGACATTAACACTATGTTCGAACATAGTGTTAATGTCTTCATTCAATTTCGTCAAATCTCAGTCAAGGGTAATAAACCAAGGTGTGAGAAAAATTAGCCAAAACCTAGTGTTGAATATCCTGGCTTATTGAGCTCCAGAACCTTGAATTGATAAAAACTCCGACACAATCTAGATAGAGATCAAACAAACCTAGTTTAATGAGTAAGGCTGTAGTACACAAATAACCATCCAAAAACCAGAAGTAATGACATAGACAAACATTATCGAAACAAACCATGCCACGTGCTCAACCTTCAAAATTTGTTTTCAGTGTCCTGAACTTCGTTAAAAACTTACCATTCACTAAGATTTATTGACCCTACGAATTTTATAACAGATTCAACCAACAGGCCGGGTACAAAGTTAGTAGCATTATTATCCGTAATCTCAGTTGTAACTTGTAAGATGTATGTAAAGATATTATTTATACAAAGTTACAATCACATCCATCTAACAACTAAGATCCACAGCTAAGGGTCGTTTGGAAGTTGTGATTGTTAGTGTTGTATTTGTTAAATACATGCATTGTCCACAGACCACAATACAACGTTTGGAAGTGTCAAGCTGCAAAACAATGCATGTATTGTTTTGTGTGGGTCCCACCAACAATCAACAAAAATGAGGGATTGTACAGTTGAGATTGTTGTTATTGTTGGTTTAATAATTGAGCACCTTTACTTTTTCCAATTATGTCCATAGTTCTTTTTGTTTTATATTAAAAGTGGAGGACAAATATGGCATTTCCTTATAAAGTAACTTTATAACAATCAATTCATAAATTATAATCTCAACAACCAAACAATATAATTTCAAAATGCATCTATTGTATCAATGCATGCATTTATATCATAATAATTCATATCAATGCATTCATTTATATCATAATGATTCATAACAATACAACGATTTAACATACGCAACTTCCAAACGACCCCTAAGATCCGAGACTTGTCCATATAATGCAACAACTAAGATCCGAGACTGCTCCATCTAATGGAGAACCTAAGGATTTACTATAATGGAACCTTGAAGCTATCAAAGAAAAATTAACATAGTGGAAAGAGGATTAGCAACTCCAAAATTTGCTATTAGTCTACCATTCCTAATGCAAACCCCAAAGAGTAGCCGACACACACAAGTGTCAAGAAACCAGAAAGCAGATATGAATGAAACAGGAACCTGCTCCCGTCACTTTTATATGAATGAATATGATGGTCCTGGATCTGCAACTGCTATCAAATATATCAATCCCAGAGTGGTTGCATTTTGCATTATTAGCAAGACGACTACTACCATACTTATCCAGTCCTCAAAAACGTCAGCTGAAATGAACCAACGCGCTAACAGCCAGAGAAGCCCACGAGGATGATAGCAACACGGATCTACCACATTATTAGCAAAGAACAAAGACACGTCGATAATAAACGAGAGATTAACAGAGAAGGGTAAAGGGGGAAAGGAGAGCAAAATGTCTTACATTCCGGACGAGTAAGAGATTCTTCTTCTACAAAACGTCAAAAAAAAAAAAAAAAACGAAAGAAGTAATATACAGAAAGGAGGGGAGGAGAGCGAGCTAGCTAAGCAAGCAAAGCTTCATGCCTTCTCAATTTACATTGCCTGTTCTTTGTTTCCTTTCAAAACCCAGAAACGACCCATAAGAACAAAAAAGGGTGTAAAAACACGAAAACAAAGAAGTACAACATCCCTTAAGACGCTAATATCGATCAATCATTAGCTTCTTCCCTCCTTGAGTAAGTAAGATCAGAGAGAAACTTAGGAAAAGAGAGGGTGAGATTCAAGAGAGAGAGAAGAGAGGCTACTTATCTCAGCTCAATAGAACAGACCATCTCAGCAAGCATGTGAATAGCTCTTTCTCCTAAACCTCGAATTTCAGATCCCATTGTAAGAATTTAGGGTACTCTTTCCTCCGACGTTTCATGACCTAACTGAAGATGAAGATTCCCCCAGAGAAACCGATGCTAAGGATGAAGCCCAGACCCTACAGTTCTTCGCCCCCTCATGGAAATTCCTGGTCTTGCACAGTCTAAGTTTGGTCCAAACCTGCCTCACGTCTACCAAGTGGAGGATGCGCACAAACAGCTGGCTGCTTGTCTCGCCGAATATTCCCAAGTTGAGTCGGGGAATTATGGAGGTACAGAATGCCTTTAGGTGAGAGAAGAGTTTGGGAGATAGAAATAGCGCCAATCGGATGAAGAGGAACAAGAAGGAGAATGCCAAGTAAGGCTCCCTTTTCAGTATATCTTCCATTCGTGACCCATCCCAGGGCTTTAGAATAATGCTCTTCTCATCGCTCGATGAACTTGTTGCCTGACCTTCAGTCAAACATTGCACTGCCTCAAATCCTGTCAAAGTTCATATGTAAAAAAGAAGTACAACAAAAATCAATTATGTTTCTGCTCTATCTTTGTCTAGCAAGAAGGCGAGAATTAAAGTTGCATGTCAACTGCAAATATGGAAATGTCACCGAACAAGAAATGACCTGTTGCTTTGACATAAAACTGCACGAGGGACTGAAGATTCTTTGGCCCTCCGTATCGCACTTTTGTGGTCTGGTTAACCATCACCATGGAAGGCAAGCTGTGGATTCCAAATCTAGAAAATACACTACAAATGGAACAAGAAATTAAGCAGTTGGTAGTACAAGAATTATCCACAAAATCAACATGTCAGTAATATCATCAAACAATAGCTGAAAAGGAAAAAGCAGGTGAACACCTCAACCCTAAAAGCAGCATGCAAAACGCAATAAAAGAGAACCCCTACCATGTACCCTTTCATGACTAACATAGACAGAAGTATCTGAAAAGGTTGCATAGTCAGGTTTGGTCCTCTATGGTAGGTGCGTCATTAGCCCAACTAAGGTGGGTCATCACAAATTTCATCTTGTAAAGGACATTGAATTGTATATCCACACTAGCTAGCACGAGACATCCCTACCTAATACCGCTACAAAAGCTACTACACCACCACTAACAACCCTTTAATAGAATATTATCACCACTTACCTCTTACAAATCCCACTGCAGCTAAGACAGAGACACTGAGTATGGGATCTTACAAGCAACGGGCATATGTATAGTATATATAGTGTCACATCACAACCTCATATTTCTTTCCAGGTGATGTCTCAATGACAAATAAAAAAATTTAGTATCCTACACTTATCACAGCCATTCCTATAGTGCATTGTGGAGGCTTAAAGTAAGTTAAGGATTCTCCATATTTATATTAAAAAAAAACATCAGATTTGACACTTTCAGCTGCATCAAGAAATGATTTTCCAGAAATAGTGAAATGTAATGTTCCGTTACCATACCTTGGGAGAACTGAAGACTCTTCAACGGCCAAATGCTGTATCTCAGGGAACATGGCTGCAAGCATTTCAAATTTAGAAAGCATGCCACGGGAGAAGGGGCACCAGGAAGCATAGAAAAGCACCGACGTATAACCATTTGTCCACTCTGACTTCAAAGCTCTCTCAAGAAAGTCCCCATCCACCTATTTCCAAATAACCAATATCATAACTCAATACCAAGAAGAAATTGAACAGCTTTACACCACTTACAACACCATTAATTACTACATCGAACAAACAAACCCTGAGGAGAAAAGCAAAAGGCACAACTTTCATTTCCCAATTAGCACCTAACTAGCTAAAACATATACCAAGAGATGCAGTATACTTAATCAGCAGCGGAGGGAAGAAGGTCGTTTTACGGGGATAACCAAATTAGACAATATGGTCGCTTAAAACTATGCAATCTACATATGGGCCTTCATCCCAGTCCCTTAAAAGCTAGCTAGCTGCTACTAAGAACTCCATTGCATACAACCCTAACCACAAATCCTTTCTCAGGAACCTAGAAACCTAACAAATTTGTTAACACGTACAAACATGGCAGCAATTACCAGCTCATTTTATCACAAACCCTAACAAACAAATCACTGCCACCAACCACCCAGCCAAAATCGATCAATTAAGACAAAAGAGGACACAGAATTTCACGGATTGCAGAAATTTATCGAAATTGATCAATCGTGGGAGGAGTGAAGATGGAGAGAGACGAGAAAGGGGTTTACCTGGAGAGGGGGATTGGAGGAGATCGAAGGATGGCATTGAGATTGAAGATTGTAAAGCAACATAACCGATTCAGTCGGGCAGGTCGTGGAAGCCGATGCTGGCGACGACACCACAAGCCGGACGGAGAGGAGGAAGAAGAAAACGGACACCGCCGGAGACATTGGGAGCGGAGAGGCGGGTAATCGAGAACACGGTACAACACCGACGGCCAAATCGAAAAGAGAGATTTTTCTATTGATAAGAAGAGAGACCGTTAAATTAGAGAAGAGAACAACAGACCTAAAAAAGGAAGGTAGTAGAGAGCAGGTAAAAGGTGATCAAGAAATAGGGAAGATCGGATCCGAAGAAGAAGATGAAGGAGGCAGGAAGCAGAGAGGAGAAAAATGGCGTTTCGTTGGCCGGTTCGCTTTTATTTCTTCCCGTCTCTTTCCTGTCTCTCTCTTTCTGGTTTTTTGTTCCAAAAAATTGGTCTCACTGTTTATGGCTTTATGGGCGTATTATATAGACAATTATTATTTATCTTTCCCTCTCTCTCGCTACTGTCTGCATATAAATTTGGTCGGAAATTTTAAATGTCAAAACAAAACGAGAAGCTGATGACAAAACAAAACAAAACAAAAAAAACGAATAAAATGTGTCCGGTAAATTGCAAGATTGGTCACTCATATTACTAAAAATGTTCATTTTGGTCATTAAAATATTAAATTCAATTCGTGAACACTAAAAGTTGTTAAATGTTTCCAGTTTGGTTATTCTCTGTCCAATTCCGTTAACTTTGTCCGATGTAGTATTCGACCGTTAAATGAAGATTTGCAGTATGTGGTTGTTGGTGTTTACTTGTCTTGTTGTAGTGTTAGGCGTTTGCAACAGGTTTGTGAGTTGATTGCTTTCTGTGATACCTTGCTGGTTCCTTTTGTGAAGTTGGAGACTACAATTGTGTCTTATATGGTGCAGAGAAAAGTGGGGGACTTCCATGGTCTCCCTGATTCGGCCATGGCCCTTCAGGAATGTGTGGATCGTTTGTGATCGCATGATTTGAGATATAGAGGGAGACACTTTACTTGGACAAATCGTCGTATGGGAAGTGCTTGATTCATGAAAGGTTAGATCGAGTTTTTGCATTCAATTCTAGGTTAGAGTTTTTCCCCCAGTCCTTTGTAAGACAGTGTTCGGATTTGGGTTCGGATCATAGAGCGTTATTGGTGGCGGATTAACCTTTTGTGAGAAATCGATCGCTCTTTCGATTTGACGCTAGATGGGCGGGGAATCCTGAAGTTAAACTTTTTGTCTAGTATGTATGGGTTGAGGAAGTAGTTGTTTCTCCGATGTTTAAACTGTGGATGAGACTCAAACATCTTCGACACATTTTATACGATTGGAGTCGAGCTGGTACTGGGAATTCTGCACAAAACATTCGATCATTGCAGGATGAGATTGAGGCATTGAAGGTTTAGCATCCTGTGAACTAGGAGTACATTGGTAGACTTGAGGCTGAGCTGCCAAGACAGTGGGCAACGGAAGAAGTATATTGGCGGCAAAAATCGAGAGTTTGGTGGTTGCGAGAAAGGGATAGTAATAATATGTCTTACTTTCATACTGTGACGAGGGTGTGGAATATGCGGAATAATATTGAGGGGCTCCAGATTCGAGGGATGAGTGGATTATAGATGAAGTAGGGAAAGCATCCATTGCGGTGGGGTCTTACGAGTCTCTGTTTCTATCAGAATGCCAGATTCCCGATGTGAGGGATCGAGTGATGGATCTTTCGATTGATTCTAAGGTTTCGGTGCAAGATAAGTTAGCTTTAACATCCCTAATTTTGGAATAAGAGATCAGGAGAGTTGTGTTCTCTATTGGGCCAACGCAGGCGCCTGGATTAGATGTGTTTACTGGTAAATTTTATAGAACTTATTGGGACATTGACGGTCCTTCGGTGGTTGAAGTCGTTCAATCTTTTTTGCCAGTTGGCATTTCCTTAAAAGTTTTAATCATACGTGGATCACTTTAGTTCCAAAGGTGGAGTCGGTGACATCAATGAAGTTTGGGTCAATAGTTTATGTCAAATGGTGGCAAAGATCATTTCCAAGATAATGGTTGAAAGAATGGCAAAGCTTCTGCCTCATATTATCTCTCCAGAGCATAATGGTTTTGTGAGGTATCACCATATTATGGATAATGTTCTTATTGGGCATAAGATGATGCACTATCTTAAGATTAAGAGGCGAGGTGAGAAAGGTTATATGGCCTTAAAGGTTAATCTGAAAAAAGCCTATGAACGGGTTGAGTGGCCTTTCTTGTTTGCCATCTTAGAGAAGTTGGGATCTAGTGCACTAAGGATTGATTGGATAAAGAAAATGGTGACGTCGACGTCTTTCTCAGTCTTGATGAATGGAAAGTCTTCTGGATATTTTCGGGCAACGCATGGTCTCAGAATCGGGGATTTACTATCCTCACTATTGTTTGCTATTTGTACTGAGAGGTTCTCGACCCTTTTGCGACAAGCTATTGATACTGGAAGATTTTCGGGGGTTAAGGTCAGTCCGTAGAGCCTAACTATTTCCCATCTGTTCTTTGTGGATGACTCATACCTATTTCTGAAGGTGACACCTCAGGAATATGTGAATTTGATGGGAGTATTGCAAGAGTATTAACTGTTAAGTGGTCAGAAAGTGAATTTAGAGAGGTCTGTTGTTTGTTTTAGTATGAATATTATGGTTGAAGATAGATAGCAGATGTCATTAATTTTAGGAGTAGGGTCGGTGGGTGTTTATGATAAATATATTGGACTCTCAACATTGGTGCATAGATCAAAGATAGAGACATTTCGGTTTCTTGAGGAATGGCTTCTGGCACGATTGCAAGGGTGGAAGTAGCATCACCTGTCCTAGGCTTCTAAGGAGACACTGCTGAAATCAGTAGCTTCTGCGTTGGCAATATATGCTATGGCTTGTTTTCTTCTCCCCCGGGAGTTGTATAGGAAACTGGATAGGCATATGGCTCATTTTGGTGGGGTAGTAGTCCGATGGGGTGAAGACAGCATGGGTGTCCTGGCGAAATTTGTGTCGAAGTAAGCATGATGGTGGTCTTGGGTTTAGGACGTTTGAACTGATGAATTGGTTCTATTGGTTAAGATAGGCTGGCATCTACATATGGATCCAGGTTATCTGCTGGCTAGGGTACTAAAAGGAAAGTACTATCCTCATTAGGACATTTTAGTGCCACGTCGAGGTCTCGCCCCTCGTGGGGGTGGCAGGAGATTTTGGAGGATAGGCATTTGCTGGTGTAGGGATTGCGGTAGGTGGGGAGTGGTTCTAATGTTTAGATATGTGAGGACGTTTGGGTTCCCAGTTTGTAGCGGCAAACTCTTCCCCTCCTGTCTTATGCTCAGGTATTTCCGAACCGAATGGTGGAGAGTTCAATTGATAGAGCCTCGGGTGACTGGTGTGAGGAGTGCTCGCAAACTTGTTTCCCGTTAGACATTGTTCAGCGTATTTTAGTGATTCCTTTGCCATGTTCCCCTTTGTCGGACTTGGTGATTTGGCAGGAGGTGAAATCAGGGAGCTATACAGTTAAGTCATGTATAAACTAGCTTTGGAAATTAGTCGCATACAAGGTAGGTGGGGGTCACAGGTTTCCTGGTTTAATTTGGTGTTCTGGAAGCAGGTTTGGCTCTGTGATATCCCGCCAAAGCTGCGTTTCTTTGTGTGGAAGTTCCTTAGAAAGATTCTACCGACGATGGAAACTCTGCAGGAAAAGGGTGTCAACTGTAACCTATGTTGTCCGATTTTTTGGGCTGAGTTGGAATCTATGGAGCATTTATTCTTGCACTGTCCAGTTGCAGTGGATCTATGGCTTGAGTCGGGTTTGATTGCTTTGCGAGAGGGATTGCCAGAGGTGAACGTTGCGTGTTTTTTTAAAGCCATAGTAGCTCGGGATGGGTCGGAGGTTGCAATTATGCGCATTGTTTCACTATTGTGGCGTATTTGGAAGTCTAGGAACTGAGTAGTGTTTGATCATTTTCAGTACAAGAGGTCGGTGTTGCTACGTTAATTTAATAGCAGGTGGCAAAATGGGAGGGGCATGATCGAGTCCCTGTGCCGCCAGGTGGCTAAGGTGTGGGTGTGGGACGGGATGGGTAAGTTAGTTTGCTCTTAGTTTGTTATGTGGATGGTGTGGTGCTCTCGATCTCGCATGGAGCTGTGGGGGTAGTGGTAGTGGATGGCTCAAGAGATCTTTTATTTGCATCGGGCTTTCTTTATGCAGGTTAGACTGATCCGTTTCTGGTGGAATTACTTGCTTTCCACGATGCAATGCAGTGGATTTCTTTGAAGGGATGTTCATCAATGGAGTTTCATGGGGATGCCAATATCGTTATTGACAAGATTGCTGGGGAGGTGTGTTATGATGCTCGAGGTGTAATTTTCGAGGAAATCTTGCAGCTAAAGAGGGCATTTCATTTGTTCCAAGTGTGTTTTGTTGGTAGGGATCGCAATCGGGTGACCCATTTGGTGGCTAAAAAGGCCATGTCTTTGTCTCCTGCTGGTATTTTGGGTTTGATTTTCGCTCTTGGGCGAGGTGTGTGGTTTGAACACTCTATATCAATTCCTTGATTAATCCAAGTGAGCTATTGATATAAAAAAGCTCATTTTCACTATAATTAAATAATAAAAAGTTAATTTTCTAGGCTCCACTAAACACCCAAACCGTCTCATGCATCCCTCTTTGCCCACTTAAATTGGACACCATTTCCGGTTGCGGCAGCTAACTAGTGCAGTGAGGACTTCTTCATGTGGATGTGGTGGCGTGGACCAATCTTGGGGAGCTTGTCGTGTTGGCCAGGCGATGCAGTACTGAAATGCTAACTTCTCTTCCGATTTCACCCCTGCCTTATGGTCCAACCCTTCTCTCGTCGACGCTCGTCGATATGAGGGCTTGCTATTTCGACAGAGGGATAATGGTGATAGATGTTGGAATTTGATGGATTGGGTCAACCAATCTAGATGAATCAAATTCATGGTCCTGGAAATGGAAAGTTGTGATTAAAAGTTTAAGTCCTTTTAACTTGGACTTTGATCACCACGGTGCATGAAAATTGGCAGTTAGTGGCCAAACAATGCAACCATTCCTTTTATTTAATTTGAAAACCACCAATTAGTGTTTTTCCATGCATGAACACGTATGGTGATGATGGTTAGATAATGATAACTAAAAGGTCACAACCTTTGGCATGGACACATTCCAGATAATGCCAACTTTTGGCATAATGCAACTACCTTATAATTGAAAGGTCACAACCTTTCTGTTTGACCTGGGAAAGTCCCCAAGATTAATATAGTAACTGTGGAGCTCTGATATGGACTCCCTCATTCGATCTCTTTGGGAGGAAAGGAATCTGAGATGAGGGGGTGGCCCCCGGGATTTACGCTCTGACGCCCAAGTTTGTACGATATAGAGAAAGTATATGGT